TATAAACAGAGAGTGGGGCTGTGTAAAGACCAGTGTCAAGGTGCAGCATGCATAGGGCCAGCATGTTATCTCTCACAATCAATGTTTGTTTTCATCTCAAGGCAGAGATGGGGCACGGCTTATCAACTGGAGAAAAAAACCAGACAAAGTTCATTTCAACTATTGTTTTTTTGAGGCCACTGTTGATTTTTGTTAGGACATATTAGGGTTTTTTTAAGACGTAGGTACTTGCTATCCAGATCAGGGAATATCAACTCTGGGGAATGGAACCGTTTTTCTTCTTTCACCACTGGTTGTCATCAAGCAGTGTGGACAAATATTCATTCCAGCATTCCATGTTTCGGGATCAAATTTTTGGTATTCTCTGAATCAATGTGCCTGGTAATCAGGAAACACGGGGCAGTTCTATTATAACACATCCCTATTTAGCATGGGCCCATTTATGGTTTACTGTACTGTGTTCGTATATCACCTTATGCTGCAGAGTAATGGGGAGAATCCTACATGCTGTCAAGCATTGACACATGTGTTAGAGCAACAATAATAATCCTTATAATAATATACTAATCCTTGTATTTGATATAGGATTTTATCATATCATTGAGACATCTCAAAGGGCTTCATATGATATGCTGTAAAGTGGTGTGACTAGTGTAGTTTGTGAGTGAAATGCAATTTGCTCACAGCAAAGTCCCACAAACAATGGTGGAGTGAGTGGCCAGTTATATTTGGGGTATTGTTAGCAGGACACCAGGAGAAACTCCTTTCTCTTTCTAAATATTGCCGTTGGATATTTAAAGTCTACCTGGACAGGTGGACTGGACTTTGGTTCAATGTCTCACCTGGTATACTGCACCTATGACCCCCAGCAATGCGTTGGAGTGTCAGCATAGATTATATGTGTTCCAAGTCCCTACATGGGGCTTGAATCCATAACTTTCTGACTCAAAGGTAAGAGTGCTACTAGTTGAGCCTGACTGACAATCGTTGAATTTGATATAGTACCTAATAATTTTGAAGCATCTCAATTCACTTTGCAAGTATTTGCTATAAAGTGTAGTGACTGTATTTTGTGGGATGAAAATGGCAGCCAATTTATGCACAGCATGGTCCTACAATGAGTCATGAAGTAAATAACCAATTTATTAGGAGGATGTTTGAACAGGACATTGGGAGAAATGGCCTTATCTTAACAAACAGTGTCACTGAATCTTCAAAACCATGTGAACAGGCACGCAGATAGGTCATTTCATGTGAAAGGTGACATCTTTGACGATGCAATGCTCCCCCAGGACTGCACTGGAATGTCAGCCCGGGGTAATGGACTTTCTATCTGATTAGTGATATACAGTCAATTTCAATCTTTTAAAACTCTGATAACATGTTCCAGAAACCTGTCCTGAAGTCCAGCAAAACCCTGTACAGGTTCACAACATGAAAGGGAAATGTCAGCCATCTCTGGTATAATTCAAGTGCATCTGAGTACTTTGTAGTTCAGGCATGTCTGCAATTATGTAACAGCTAGGGTCAGGAATCCAAGAGAACCAGAAAAGAGTTTATGTTAGGAAAGTGGAGAAGGAACGATTTAACAGCCATGGCGCACGTTTGAGGATTAAAGCTACTGAAAAAATACTCAAGGGAACCTGAAATTTTACAGACAATGTACAATTCTCCTGGACAATGATACTCCATTGATATCTTGGCTGTTTGTTGGATATTGCTGTGCGCAAATGAGTTGTCATGCTTGCCTACAAGCAGGTTACACTTAACAGTTATTACTGAAAAGCACTTTGAAACAACTTTATTGGTGCTGATTAAATGCAAGGATGACTTTACTTTTTTAAAAAAGTTTAGTCCAGAAACATTCATACTATACAGTCTTGGCTATTGGTGATTAAGCTAGTTCTGAGGTGGCCCTTTGTAACCTTTTAATATTAGGGACCCTCAAAATTCTCATTAAAGCTAAACATAGATAAACAAAGACCATTCAGGTCCAAATCCCTGACTGTCCAGCACCTTGGGATGTCTTCCCAATGCAAAAGGCGCTATACTCTTGTCATTTGTTGTTGTTGTTCATAGTGGAGAGTTTGATCTGAGGATCCATTTCCAAATGTAATATAAATTCACGCCTGGAACAGATTGTCATGCTTTGTTTGGGATACAGCAGTTGTATGTGATATATCCTGCACTCGTTATAACATGATGATTCGGAGCCAAGCATTTCCCATGTTCTTATGAATTTTACCCTGGATAATATCATAGTAAAAAAGCTGAGGATCAGTGCCCTGTGAGATCTCCATAGAACAATACACAGATATCCAGCAAATACAAAGATCTCTGTATTTGTAGTCTGTCTCTGTGTTTGTAGTGATCTCTCTTAGACCCTGAGATTGTTTCATACATTTGTACTCAGCTATTCTTTCCACTTTGTATGATGCTTTCATAATGTGGCAGGAGGAGGTAGTATAGTGATATAGCGTCACCTATGAGGAAGGAATATTTAGTATTAGCCAGATGGAGTTCAGTTGTCCAATGTAAGGCATTATCAGGAAGTTACCCAGATATTCCTATCTTTTATCACTTCTACGGGTTTACATGTGAGGCTTGCAATAAGAATGGATAATTAATCAAAAAGGCCTTTATGATAGGCCAAGATCAAGCCCTCCAAAAAGATATTCCCCCAAAGCTACATTTGCAGTTAGGACTAGCTTACATAAGGTAGTATTTGCCAAACTTTTTGATGTTTAAAAATGTTCAACCATGATATTAATTACACCAAAACACATTTACCACAATAATAATAATGCTTGCATTTGATATAGCACCTTATCATGCCTTTGAGATGTCTTCACAGAATATATTGTAAAGTGAATTAACCGTATATTTTGTGGTTGAAATGCGGCAGCCAATGGCACACAGCAGCGTCCCACAAACAGTCATGGATGAATGATCAAATTATTATTATTATTTGAGTTCTGACGAAGGGTCGTGGACCCAAAACATTGACTCACTTTCCTTTCTCCATAGATGCTGCTTGACCTGCTGAGTTTTCCCAGCAACTTCTGTTTTTGTATTATTATATTATTATTATTATTATCACACAGACAGAATCTATTCTGATGTTTAGAATTGAGCTAAAAGACTCTGTACTTGGGAAGTAACAGTATTAAGAGGAGTGGTGAAAAGACGGGGAAGTGCTGTATAATCTAATAAATTGGTTGAACGGGCTCAACTAGCTGAATGGCCTGTTCCTATGTTCCTATGTTCATGTGTATGAGACCTTGTGACATTTCTCTACGCTATCAAGAGAAAACTTTGCCAAACCTTTTTCCGTGAAACTTTAACTATCTGCCAATACTGTAAATTGAAACTTGAAATAAGGATATCTCAAACCATTGTTACTGGCTGGGGTAAGTTTCCATCAATATGAATCATTTATAATCTCAAGTGTTTTTTAAATTGAGCAAGCTAGGCAAAAGGCCAAGTGCAGCCCACAATCAAGGTTAAAATAGATAATGAAAGAAAACGGAACATGTTAAGAAATAGTGCTTAGGTTACACTTAAAGCTGGGTTTAAACAGCTGATTGTTGGAGGAGGAAAAACTGAGATGAGGTGAGGAGTTCCAGTGAGGAGATCTTGGGAAAGAAAGAGTTGGGATATGGATGCATTTTGGACACAGTGAGAATGTAAAGATGGAGAAGAGCTTGTATGACAGAATATTTGGAGACTGGGAGGAAAGAGGGTAAAGTTCAGACTAGTTTGTGTGTAAAATTCTTGGGTGTTTGAGCACGTATAATAATATAATAATCCTTACATTTGCTAAACCCTATAATGTCAAAACATCTCACAGCACTTCACAGGGAATTGCGGTCAAATACAGCGATTCATTTTATAGGCAAATACAGCAGCTAATTTGCACACAATACGGTCCAACCAACAGTCATGAAGTGAATAAACAATTTATCTGGGGGATTGTTGACAAGTACACTGAGGGAAATTCACTTCTCTTATGCATGGGATCTTTGACATCCACCTGATATGATTGTGTGATTATTCCGAGTTGTGCACTAGTCATTTTCCCTTCCACTCCCATGAATCTTCTCCACTGCCAGTAGTAGAAATATCCTTCATTCTCATGAAATTAAATCAATTTATAAATGATTCCAACACTTCAGTATATTATAGCACCAGACCGCAGCATTTAAAATACACAACCTTTCTATCCCATTAACAAGCAATAATAATTCCGCAACAATTTCTAAGTAAAGCACAAAATACATATGAGATGGTTTGGGGGTTCCTTCATTCACAATACACATTGGAACTGTAGTTCCCACAAGAGTTCCCTCTTGTTAATTACCTTCTTAGCTCTCTGCTGCATTTTCAGTATAAATCCAACCAAAGCAGTATTCAGAGTGAACCACTTTCCTATTGCACACAAGACGATAACAACATTTGTACAGGCAACTGCACAGTGACTGCTGATCAACCTCCCCTTTCACTGTTATTACACAGTTGTTTCAAAATTCTAGACTTAAAAATGATAATCCTTGCATTTAATATAGCCCCTTATCATGTCTTCTAGATGTCGCTTCACAGAATATACTGTAAAGTGAATTGACTGTAAAGTGTTGTGGGCAAAATGCAGCAGCCAATTGCGCAAAGCAGAGTCCCACAAACAGTCGTGCATTGAGTGACCAAATTATTATTATTTTATTTATTTATTTTTAGAACAAACTTGTTATTAATATTCTCTCAGTATTCTTGGTTGCACCATACTGGATCTCATTATCACATTGGCTGTTTAATAACATATTGCAGTTACCTTGCTGTTGAATGCTTTCTCACATTCTCACTTTAAATACAGTTGCCGTTGACTTTACCAGTTACCAGTGTTTCTGCTCGTAATATTCCTCTTCTAATAATATTCCTCAAAATGAAAACTTTTTGTAATACTCAATCTAAAGTAGATGTTTTTCTCTCACAGAATCACAGCTTACCAGAGCTCAGAATGTCCCTTCCTCCTCGAATGGTTACGTGAAGATATAGTGTGCTTTGAGAGTCACCGAAGTCCAGCTGGAGTAAGCAGGGCCTTTTTGCCTATTTATCAGAGGCTCTTTGCAAACACTCTGGCTCCAGACATTCTGCAGAACAGCACTAGAGGCCTATCTCACTAACCAGCTTCCCACACAAGCCCCTCCTGGGTCAGAGAGAGGGCAGCCCCTAGTGAGCATAAATCAAACAGATCTGGCTCATCCATGCTGTCCATGGTCAGAACACAGCGACCCCCATATTATGTTTATCTTCTCTAACCCAATTTCTAAATCTTCTGTTATCGGTTAACCCTTTTCTGTTAGATACGTCTATCCGTGTAATGAACGAGGCAAGAACATTTTTACGCTTACCACTCAATATTACCAATACAAGGTAATGAGTATGAACACAATTTCCAAGTGTGAATGCATCCCATCTTTTAACTTCTTTAGCTTGATCAGAGCAGGTCAATCAGACGCAAATTCTCATCTTAAGTATATTAGTGGAAACTAGTCCAGACTTTGTACTGGAAGCTCAAGTCTTGCAACTCTCTGAATCTGCTACCCAGACTTGCATTGGTTTAAAGATCCACTCGGTTTACTTCACACCTTTGGGAGTTCCCATTGCAGCACATTTCTGTTGCAGTTATATTGAAGGGACAGAGATGGCGCTGTGTCTGATTCAGTCCAAACTGGTAAATTGGGAAAATGGGAACCACTGTAGTTCTTGAGTCAAAACGCACACGTTTTGAAATTGCATCTGAACCTATTCAGCAAAACATCACAAGTCCAGATGCCAGTACATCTCCCTGTTTCAGTTGCACAGGTTCTGGAAGGATGAGATCAAATTGGCCCCTTTAATGTTCCCTCTAAGACGTCTCTTTTCAAGACTGAAGAGTACCTTATCTAATTATTTCTCAGAGCTCATTCCTCTCGCACTTGGGATCATCCGCATAGCTTTCCACATTGCACTGCATCTGGGATCCGTACAGCCCCTTGCGTTATGTGAGCAGAACTGTACACAGTAAGACAGGTGCGGTCTGACCAGGTTGAGCATGGTATCTGGCGATGTGAACTCAACTGATTTGGCAACGTAGCCCAGTATGATGAGAAAGCAGGTATATGGATGTTGAGATTCAATCATGGATGAGCTTGTTGAGCTTCATGTGCTATAACATTCTCTTATTTGTCGATGTAAACCCGAAACACTGCAGTTTAATTTGCCATATTCACAGAACATCTCACTGTGGTTTCCAAAAGCTGCCAAAATAAATGGTAGAATTGGCTGAAGGGGGTGGGGGGATGGGGGTGGGGAGGCTGGAGTACAAAATTGCTGTCTGTGGGGAGATTGGATCACTGGGAAGAAACTTTATGTAGTGCTTCTCAAGTAATTAATAATAATAATAATCCTTGCATTTGATACAATGCCTTATCACGTCATTGAGATGTCTCAAATTTTGTGGACAAAACCCGGCAGCCAATTGCACAGAGCAGCGTCCCACAAACAGTTGTGGATTGAACAACCATATTTTTATAAAAATAAGATAGAGATATTTTAAAGATCCTTCTTCCTCACACTTCTTCCAAGGGAAATTCCACCCAATCTTAGCTGTGAGACCATTAGACCTTTAAAATTTAAGATTACCCTCAATTATGGAAAATTCACATATTTAGTTTTGATTTGGAAGCTCCTTTAATTTTACATTTCCAGTAATTCTGTCAGTTTGTGGAACAATTAATGGTTAACTGGGGATTCTTCCTCCTTTCCACCCTGGTACTTTCTGATTAAACAGAACCTTTGGATCGTTTGTGTCAGCTATGTTTCAGCCACATCCAGAGAAGACATGGCTCTAATTGAGGGAAGAAGAGGCTGTTACTGAACATGAACCTATCTCACAGAGATCAGTCTATTTGTCACCCATTCTGGAGCAATGTTTCACTGGGGCAGAGTAAGGGCAGGTTACTTGAGTTCTGTTTACAACTTATATCCTTTAGCTGAGACTTTTGCAGTGCTATCGATTTCCAGCAATAGATTTCGAAATGATCGAGCAAATGGTGCCGTAGGTCCAGATTGCACCTCATAGAAGCATTGGTTGTTCAAGCTGTTTGTGATATTATTTCAGAGGAAATCTAAAAGCATTTTCTACACATTTCCTGATTAAAACCAGGCAGTTCACAATTGGTAGTCCGGGGCTATGCAGGATTATAGCAGGTCAAGAACAGTTTGCCTGTAAATTCTATGCAGGTTCCTTTATGCTGCCTCAAAAAACATTGAATATAAAAGCATGTCATTGTGATGTTAAATGTATGTCCCTCCACCTCACCCCCTCTCTCATCTCCTTCAAGATCCATCTCAAGACCCTCCTCTTCGACCGTGCTTTCAATCCCCTGCTTTCCCCCCTGCTCTCCACACTCCCTGACCCAGCTTGGGTCCAAAACTCTGTCTGTCCAGCATCTTGGGATGTCCTCCCAACGTGAAAGGCTCTGTACAAATGTATTTTTGTTGTTGTTGTTATGTAAGAAGCTGCGTGCAGTTCTGGATACCTGGTAATAGAAAGGGCATGAGAGCAACAGAGAGGATCCCAAGAGATCTGAGGTTATAGTGATAGTTATGACAGAGTCCCAAGATTGAGGCACTTTCAATGAAACAAGAAGGGATCAGAGGGATCTAAATGTGGTCTTCAAAATGAGAGGAAATACAGTGAAGAGTTATTTTGATGGTTGGTAAATTGGTAAGTCATTGCTAGTAATTTACCAATGGAAGAGTTAAGGGTGGATTATAAGGAATATTTTGTTTAGAATGATTTGGCACAAGTGGCTAGTGGAACGAGAGCTATATTATATTCATTTTTAAAAGGGAGTTGGATAAGTATTTGAAGAGAAATAATATAAAATGAGACAAGGAAGGAGCAGGGAGTGAATGTGCAACTCCAGTGGAGGAGTTAGCAGCATTGTGCACCAGCATAGTGAGCCAAATGGTCTCCGTGTTAGAATTTCTCTATTTATAACACAATAGATGTCACTTCAATAACAATAAGTTATTCATTAATAAATGCCAGTATTTCATCGCTGAAAAAAACCCCAATTTACTATTGTTACAGAATATCTGAAGGCCAGCCTCACAGACATTGATGTTCTGTTTTCCTATGCTTTTTGCATTGGCTTTTTTAACCTGTAGACACAAATACTGTGCAGTCTGTGCTTGGGACGTCCTCCCGCCGTGAAAGGCGCTATAAAATGCAATTTGTTGTTGTTGCAGCACGGCAATGTCTGTCCATGTCAAGGAGCAATAAGTTCTTTAATAAATTCTTTTATTAAAAAAGGGACTTTGAGAGAGTGTGAACAACAACAACAATTTGCAGTTATATTGCCCATTGCATGCTCGCTAGCATCTGGAAGGGCTTTTTGGGAGGGAGGGAACAAAGTTGTCTATGAAACTGGGGGTACAATGGATAGCTGCACACTTTGTGGACAGCTATCCATTATACCCACAGTTTCATGGACAACACTGTGAATGGATAATACAGTTAGACTGTGAGCAGCCCTTCAAACTGTCCCACAGATCAAATAATGATGCTCTTGTCATCAGCAGTGCCAGAGCACTGACATTGTGGGTAAATTGGCACCAAACAATGTGCCTGTAAGAATGTGGAGCAGAACGGAGACGTCTATATCCATTTGTTAGCTAATACTTTTTATTCGTCTCCAACATGACAGATGCTAGTAATAATCTCAATGGTATTACACATTCCTTCCCCCCCACTTTTTCTCTGCAGGGCCTCCTCTCCGCTAAATAAATATTCATCATAAAAAATCTCCGCCATAAAATACTGCAGGGAACAAGAATCTATCCCAACGGGGCCATGGAATGCTCCCCACGCTCCCTGCAACTCTTAGCTTCACAAAGGTCATTCCTGAAGGAAATCTGGTACAGGTTCAACTCCAGAGCAGAGTTTAGCACCATTTTAGTGCAAAGTGAAGGTAGGGTTCAACCACAGATCAGGCATAATGTGACCGCTGTGTTTTTTCTGAATCCCTAATGCTAAAATCTCAGAATTTTAACACAAACCGATCTTAAAAGCAAAAGTACAGCTGAATTAGAATAACTACAGTATATAGGAATGACTCTGAGATGAGTTGCAGCTATCAGGCAGAATTACAATCTTAAAATTGCCATACTGTGACCAGCTGCCAATTATTGATGGAGTCCTGTGGCTTACTGGTTAGAGCACTCGCCTCACAAGCGAGAGGACTTTGGTTGGATTCCCGAGCCGGGCGAAACCTTAGGCAAATTTCCTTACACCACGCGCCTCTGCTTACCTAGCAGTAAGTACAAACTCAGTTGTTCGTCAATTGGCGGATCACTTTTCCATAAGTAATATTCCTTAAAAAAAAAGAAAATGTGGTCACTCAATCCATGACTGTTTTTGGGACGCTGCTGCGCACAATTCATGCCGCATTTCTTCCACAAAATACACAGTCAATTCACTTTATAGTGTATCCTGTTAAGTGCTTTGAGACGCCTTGAAGATGTGATAAGGCGCCATATCAAACAAGAATTATTACTATTATTAATTTGTCCCAAACCAACTACCACTGTCTTTGCCTGTGTAATTGCGCAACAACAACAACAACAAATGATATTTGTTTCACGTCAGGAGGACATCCCAAACCGCTGGATAGTCAGGGATTTGGACCCGAGCTACAGGTTGGGATCAAGAGGGCAGGGAGAGTAGGGGCAGAAGGGTGACCGAAGGCATGGGCGAAGAGGAGGGTCTTGAGACAGGTCTTGAAGGAGGCAAGGGAGTGCTTACACACTAAGCAAAGTGTAACGTACAAAACGCACACACATGTTTAGCTTATTTTAGTGCTACTAAACTCAAATGTTCATCTTTTTTCACAGAACTGACTCAGAATAAAGAAATCTTGGGTGAGAAAATGTGATGCTTCGGGATAGATATATCACCTGGCATCTCTTCTGCAATGTGACATTTTTTACCCATTCTTCATTGTGCGAATCTACATATCTCTCGCCAAACAGAACAGCAGCCTGAGAGCAACATGTCGCTGGGAGCTATGTACCAGAAGTCTATACCCTGAAATCTAATATCCCTGGTCTGGTAACATTGCAACCCTTACATAGACCTCTAACCCAAGAAGTTCGTACCACAGACACTTGAAAACAATTGTAAACATAGCTTGAGTGAGTATA